CTTTCGTGAGAGACACGGTTTTGTTTTCGCGAGTCACGGCCGTGCCTTTCGGAAGGGGAAAAACGCGTTTTCTGTTTTTTATTTCTTTCGTGAGAGTCACGTTTTTGCTTCCGCGAGAGGCACGGTTGTGCTTTCGCGAGAGTCACGACCGTCCCTCTCGGACACGAAAAAAATGCGTTTTCTGTTTTTTTTTTCTTTCGCGAGAGTCACGGTTTTGCTTTAGCGAGAGGCATGGTTGTGCTTCGCGATGTGACTCTTGAAAAGAAAAAAACACGTTTTCTGTTGTTTTTTTTATTTCGTGAAAGTCACGGTTTTGCTTCCGCGAGAGGCACGGGTGTGTTTTCGCGAGAGTCACGGCCATGCCTCTCGAAAACGAAAAAAAACGTGTTTTCTGTTTTTTTCCTTTTGCGAGAGTCATGATTTTGCTTTCGCGAGAGGCACGGGTGTGCTTTCGTGAGAGTCATGGTCGTGCCTCTTTCGGAAAGGAAAAAAACCCGTGCTCCCGATTCGGTTTTTTCGTCCGTTTTTTTTTTGTGAAATTTTTTTTATCAAAACCTATCAACATGGGATCTAGTTTTAAAGATCTCGACGTGAGAACGGTGAAAACGGTTTGAGATTTGGATGCACGGTTTGAGAGATAAAACATTTTGAATAAACGGATCTACGAAAAAAGAGAAAACTCCCGGGTTGCGACAAGTGGCGCGCTGCATATACACCACTTGTCATAATCTAGAGAGTTGGAGTGATCTTTGCAACGAGTACTCCTTAACTAGTGATTTCGTCAAGAATCGCCCATACCAATTCTTAATAGAAATCACATACGGGTGACGTCTATCGGGCTGCCTCGTTAGCACGGTTGCTTTGCTCACTACTATGCTCTCTTCTTCTTCTTTTGTGTATTTTTATTTTTTTCTTTGTGTTTTTTGACCGGCTTATTTCGTTTTTTCTTTTTTATTCATTTTACTTGCTTTTCTTTCTTTCCTTCTTAGGTTTATTCTTTCTTTTCTTCTTATACTCTGGTTCATTTGTTGTTTCTCGTTTTTCTTTGTTTTTTCCATTTTTTTTTGCTTTTTCTTGTTTCTTTGTTAGTTTTGTATCAGTTTTCCTTCTTTCTAACACATATCTACTTTTTCTCAGCACACAATGTACATGTTTAGAGCACACGTGAAACATTCTTCCGATCACTCGCTGTACCTTTTTCAAATACATGATATACATTTTTGAAAATACATATTTCAAACTCTTTTTCAATATACGGTAACATTTTTTCCAAAAATACGTGTTGTACATTATTTTAGCGGTAATAACTGGTTTAACAACTACGCTATTTAAAAAAATTGTGTAACTGCTTGTGAAAATATCAGGGACATTTTTTAGAAACACACGAATATTTTCTTAAAATGTCACGATACATTTTATGGAATGAACATTTTGTAACCTACATGAACATTTTTTTTACATTTGTATATACCTGCTCCTCCTCATAATATAAGATCACATTTTTTTTGAATTGTTTGGATTGCTTTTTTGTAACCTACATGAACATTTTGTAACCTACATGGACGCAGCTTCCCATGTTTCAAAAGAAGTATACCTTTTTTTACATGTGTCACGTGGCTATAAGATCACATATTTGTTGTACTACTAATATCTTATATTATGGGACGGACGGAGTAACATGTTTTATAATGTGATGAACATTTTTTTGAAACATGGGAATATTTCCATCAAATGTGACGTACATCCTTTTATTGACACGGATCATTTTCTTAGATAACGCAAATATATATTTTTACATTGTATACATACTTTTCTAGAAATAATATTTTTTGATTGTCACGGACATTTTTCCGACAGATATCAACATTTTTGAAAATTGTGCTAACAAATTTTCACACTGTGTATTTTTTCAAATTCATGTTTTTAAAATATATGCATTTAATTCAAAATATAAATAAAGTAAAAAAGAAAAAAAGAATTTGGTGTGACATACTTTTATTACATTGCTTATTGTAATTCAAAATAAGCTGCACATAACCTCACCCCTTTCGCATGGGCTGTTGGTTGAAACATTGCTCCGCTCATCATCGAGCCCAACAGGTAAAAAGTCACCCAGAAAAAAAAGAACTTATCAGAGCCAAGTTTCGATTCTGGGACCTGTGGGTTATGGGCCCACCACGCTTCCGCTGCGCCACTCTGATTTGCTTGCTTACACTTGTTTTTTTAGGGGAATACACCGGATGATTATGATAACCTTTTTATAATATACTCCAGTGATCTAAAAGGTCTTATATTTATTTACAGAGGGAGTATATTTTCAATACAAGATGCTCTAAAACAAACTAAGCTGGAAAAACGAGCGACCGACAAAATATGGGCCAGCGAAATGGAGAAGCCCAACCGCTCTGTTTTCAGTAACAGAACCGGGCCCAACAGGTAAAAAGTCACCCAGAAAAAAAAGAACTTATCAGAGCCAGGTTTCGATCCTGGGACCTGTGGGTTATGGGCCCACCACGCTTCCGCTGCGCCACTCTGATTTTCATGTTAAATTTGCGAGGTGGCGCTACATATTTGCAAGCAGGCAAGGACTCTGGACGCATACATGGACGGTATGATATTGCTGTCCTACTTAATTCCGCACGCCCACGGACACCACCAACACCAAAACGGTACGGACAAAACAAGGCGCAAATTTGTTTAGAAATGTACGATGGCTGATGGCTCTCCCTATAAATACACCATGCATGGTGTAACGCGCCACATACAGTATATAGCTACGCATCTTAGCTAGCTAGCTTATCATCTTCCATCAGTGCTCACGAGCTAGCAACCAAGATGAGCAAGTCGTCGTGGCCGGAACTGGTGGGAGTCCTGGCGACGCTGGCGGCGACGCAGATCGCGCACGACCGGCCCGACGTCGCCGTCGAGGTGCTCCCGCCCGGCGCGCCGCTGATGCCCGACTACAACGCCGAGCGCGTCCGCGTCTTCATCAACCTCGGCGGCACCGTCGAGAAGACCCCCGTCATCGGCTAGCCTCCCGCCCCGCTAATGGCACGTCGTCCCTGTCCCGGCACGGCACCAGCGCTAGCTGCTGCTGTGACTACTGTACTACGGTATAATGGAAGAATAAAGCGACGTTATGTGTCTGTGCTACGTGATTTCTATGAATACTAGCTAAACTATTCGTGGGTCGTTACGGAGTAACAAATTATTCATGTGTACCAGAACGTGAGTTACGTTCTGAAAACCTAGCCATCGCCAACATCTCCGCCTCCACGGTAGATCGGTTCCCCATCCGCCTACACCTATGTCGGGAGGGATGGAGAACCCAATCTACGAGTGGAGTTCTCGATAAAAGTAGTGTTTGGGTTAGGGTTTCCGTAGCTGTTTTCTTCATCTTTGAAGATGGCATCGCCTAAAAAAAAGCAATCTTTGGCCCTTCGATCGACGACCAGATCTCCTTCTGGCATCAATGCTGGTGTTGGAAGATTAAATTTCTCTAGGTATGGTCCTTCAGATCTTACTTTGCCAGATCGATCTTGGATAATTTCTCATCGTCGCTGCGACGGTTCCTATGTCCTCGACAATGGTGATTCATACTCTCGGCTCCCAGTGACGTCGACCTGGCTGTTCAGTTGTTTTTTTCCTGGAATACCGGTGTTGGTACCCTTGCCGATGTTGGTCGATTACTGTAATGGTTGCGCGCGTGCATCTAGCCTTTGGCATTGCGGCTCAAACTAAAATTATAGAAGAATCCTCGCTGGTATTTACAGGTCTATGGTTGGATATCTTTGTTATTTTCCTACGGCTACCTTCAGAAAAGCACAAGATTGTGTCATGAAAGAAGAAAGAGTTTGAAGATCTCGAATAATGGCTCGTTTCTTTTAGACTTTATATTGTAATCACAGGAGTCGGCTCTTGTATAGGGTTTAAATTGAAGTATTCGGTTGCAGTTGTGAGAAGATTTTATTTGTCGTGGGCGGAGGGCAGGTGGTGTTTCATTTAGGGTGAGATATTGGGACTCGTTTTTGTCTTTATGTTTGTCTGGGTTATCAATGGCATTGTAGCGTCCATGGACAAACACTATAGAGATCTAGCTACCTTCGTTAGTCTTCGCATAATATCAACCATAAAACGCCACCTTCATAGAACCTACACGTGGGAACATGTAGGCCATGAGGATGTAACTATTGGTATCACAAACACAAGTTATGAAAGAATCTACAACAACAATAAATATATATACAACAACTCCTAATTAAGAGTGCCAACTGAGGCTAGTTCAGACGATTAGGTTATTTATGGTGGAATCATCCTACCAAGCTTCAAGTCCTTTATCACGTTCCGGTCGACTACAGAGGCGTCCATGGTGACTTTGAGTTTGCATCTGTACCGTGGTAAGAAAACAACTTCAGAGTTAAGTTTAACTAAAAGATACAACAAGGTTCGCTCACTGCTTCAGTCTCTTATTCTTTCTTGTTTCTTTTTTTTTCCTTTGTGTGTATTTTTGTTTTTTGACCGGCTTTCTTTGGTTTTTCTTTTTTCTTCATTTTACTTGCTAGTCTTTATTATCTTCTTGTTTTTTTCTTCATTTTCTTGTTATACTTTGGTTTTATTTATACTTTCTTGTCTCACTTTGTCATCTTTTTTTATTTTCTTTTTATTTCTTTGCCAGTGTGTACCTGTTTTCTTTCCTTTGAACACATCTCTACTTTTTTTGCAGTACACAATGTACTTTTTTATAGCACACATGATTTTTTTTATACATGCTGGACCTTTTTAAATACATGATGTATATTTTTTTAAAATGCATGTTTGAAAAAAATTAAATACATGGTAACATTTTTTCCGAATACACGGTATACATTTTTTAATGGCAATAACCATTTTTTGAAGTACATGGACATTTTTTAGTTGCATAATTTTTTGTGAAAATTTCACAGATATTTTTTTGAAACACATGAATATTTTCTTAAAATGTCACAATACTTTTTTAATATAAAAAATATTTTTAACCTACATGATATCTGAGTATATCGGTTGTAACATCAGATGAGGATTTGTGGCTCTCTGGTGCCACACACCCCTATATGAATATTAAATTAAAGAAAATACCAGGATTTTTTTTAAAGAAACCTGAAATTTGAGATATCAAACATGGGTGCCCATTATACTCCCATGTTTAGTTTCGAGAGGAGTGGGAGCCCAGATATTCTCGATAAAAAAATCAAAGAATTCCGTGTAGAAAAACCTATTTGGATGGATCATATGTTGGGCAATATTTTCTTCTCCACGGATACTAAGGGCATCCCTCACGTAACTAAATGCGGGAGTAGAATGGGCACCCAGGTTCGAAATCCCAAAATTTCAGTCTTTTATGAATTTTCTGATATTTTTTAAAACTTAATATTCATATAGGGATGTGTGGCACCCGAGAGACAAATCCATGATATTTATTTCTTTCAAATTCATGATTTTTTTTTCAAATTTATGAATTTTTTTCCAAATTCGTGAACATTTTTTCAAAATCATTACCAATTTTCAAATTTGTGAACAATTTTTCAATTTCAAGAACTTAAAAAAAACCATGATTTTTCCAAATCTGTGATTTATTTGTAATTTTGTGTACTTATTCAAATCCACTAATATTTTATTTAAATTCATAAGCCTTTTTGGATCCTGGTTATTCTTCCAAAAGTCTATGGTCGACCAGTCATCGGTCGACCGATCATCCATTGAACGAGCGAATGAATACGAGCACCTAAATGAGGCCTTGAATCACCTGTGAATGAAGCCTGAAGCCGCAACTGAGCGAGCGAAGCACATTGCTTGATAGGCCTGCCCACGTCAGTGTGCATGTGAGCGCCAGTTGACCAGCGGGAATGATGATTTATCCCTTGAGTTGATACACTACTCCCAATATCACATAGATATGATAGTATGGAAGAATGGAGAGGAACCGTGGAGACTCACTAATATCTATGGTAAGGCCACCGTGAGTGAAAGGCAGAAGACATGGGACTTGTTGCGCTTCTTACGGAGTGAATCAGATTTGCCCTGGGTATGCATAGGCGATTATAATGAAGTACTATCACCGGAAGAACACTTCAGAGTGGGAGAGATGCGCCAGACAGATGACAGGCTTTAAGGACGCCGTGGATGTGGCTGAATTATGTGATCTTGGCTTTGTAGGACCGATCTGGACTTTTGAAACAAAGGTGCGAGGAGGTACTTTCACAAGAGTCAGACTTGATAGGGCCCTTGCACTTCCATCATGGATGGCCCGTTTCCCGACAGCGACAGTGCGTCACCTGACGGCGGCATGTTCAGATCATAACCCCATTCTGTTGCAGCTTGAGGAACAGGAGAATCAGCATGCGTATACAAAGCAGTTCCGCTATGAACTTATGTGGGAATCACACCCCGAATTCCATGATTTCATGCAACATGCGTGGAAATCAGTTGCACCCTCAAGGACAATGCACGAGCTTGGAGACAAGCTTTCTGACATGTCCAGCAAGCTGAAGAGTTGGGATGGTGATGTATTTGGTCACGTCAAAAGGGAGATAAAAAAATTGCAAGCACAATTGGAACTTTTGCAGGCTGTCCCGGGCAGAATTGAACCTTCGGAAGAGGAGAAAAGGGTAGTGGACAAACTGACCGAGTGGTATAACAGGGAGGAAATCATGCAAAAACAACGGCCACGCTTACAATGGTTGTCGGCAGGAGATAAAAATACCAAAAAATTTCAGCAGCAAGCGACACATAGGCGCAAGAAGAACAAAATAGAGCGACTATAGTTGCAGGATGGGTCCTTTTGTGAGGATATGGCGAGGTTGAAGGAACATTCTGTCGAGTTCTATAAGAATTTATACACCACGGAAGGAATGACGGGGATGGACGATGTTCTCTCTTCCGTGTCGGTTAAAGTAACTGAGGCAATGAATGAACGACTAGACGCGCCCTATACTGCAGCAGAGGTCAAGTCGGCACTCTTTCAGATGTACCCGACAAAGGCACCGGGGCCAGATGGATTCCCGGCGCATTTTTTCCAACGTCATTGGGACGTTTGTGGTGATGAGGTAACTCGTGCAGTACTCATTATTTTAAATGGTATAGAGGATATTGGAGAGGTAAACCAAACTCTACTTGTATTGATCCCTAAGGTTCTGGATGCCTCTTCTTTGTACTAGTTTAGACCCATCAGTTTATGTAATGTGGTGGTAAAGATTGTGTCTAAAGTGCAAGCTAACAGATTAAAGGAGATCCTTCCAGAGATAATTTCAGAGGAACAATCAGCGTTCGTCCCTGGCAGGTTGATTACAGATAATATATTGACTTCTTATGAGTGCTTACACTTTATGAAAAAGAAGCGAGGAAGAAATTCTCAGTATTGTGCTTTGAAGCTCGATATGATGAAGGCCTACGATAGAGTTGAGTGGAGCTATCCGCAAGCTATTATGTTGAAGCTGGGATTCAGCGAACGCTGGGTGACATCCATCATGAGAGTTGTCACATCGGTTTCTTTCTCGGTACTGTTCAATGGTGAGAGAACCGAGGTGTTCAAACCCTCTAGAGGAATCCGCCGGGGTGATCCTATTTCACCGTTTTTGTTTTTGCTAGCAGCTGAAGGTCTGTCTTGCCTGTTAAGGAGCAGGGGGAATTCTGAAAACCTATCGGGCATCATTGTGGCACCCACAACACCCTCGGTCAATCATCTCTTATTTGCAGACGACAGCTTGCTATTTGCAAAGGCTAGTACAACAGGAGCAACAGAGATCAGAGAAGTGCTAGATGTATATTGTCATGCATCAGGCCAACGTGTTAATTTGGCAAAAAGCTCTGTTCATTTTAGTAAGGGTTGCCCGAACAGCATAAGAGAAGAGATGAAGAACACGCTTGAGGTTCCCACAGAAGCCCTTAATGATCGTTATCTTGGCCTACCATCTGATGTGGGGAGGAACACAAATGGTACTTTAAATATTTGAAAGATAGGGTCTGGAGCAAGATACAGGGCTGGATCGAACGTCTTC